GATTAGAAGGAAGATGGAAGGAGCGAGAGAAAAGGAGGAGAAGAGGTGGAGGGGGGGGGCATGATGAAATCAATCATTATCAAGGCTGTGTCCTCGCTGCACCTCGAGCAAAATGGAGAGTTCATTTTAGCTCGCCTCCTCGATCTACTCTTCACACCGCTCTCACAAATGTGCCACGCTAGAGGAGGCACATGGCTAAAATCGTTGTTAGATTCCCCGGAGCCGCCGGAGCGCCGGTTATGGGTGAAATGGCCTGAATCCTATTTTGAGCGACGTCCGCCTGGCAGCCAGCTGCAGCATCCACTACAACAGCGGAACAACAATGGAGTGTGGAGCTGGTGGAGGCGGTTTTGTGTGATTTCCACAAAATGGAGAAGTCACAGCAATCGTTCAGTTAGACTCGCCAGGGCTTCATTTGTGTCGGATGCTTCCAGAATAACATCCTCAGGACACGACACTTATGTCAAATCAAAATCTGTTACTACATTTTTGAAATATTTAAAGCCTGTCCTGGCAGTCTTTTATTATTATCTGAAATTATTCAACGCATTCAACATTATTTACCTTAGTAGCATAGTAGCCTGTTGGGCTTCACCCCTAAAAGTCGATGATTTGAGTCATCAGTCACACCAAGTCGATTTGCAATTTGTCAGTGGAATCACTCCACATTTTCTTGCAGGAGCTACAGCATGGCTGGCTGTAAACTTTACTAACCGAGTCCTGGTTCAAAATGACTGAACCATAAAACGAACTGTGATGGAAGTAGAAAAGAGTAATGGAAACGGAGGACAGCTCAACTTGTGTCTGCTGGCTGCTCTGAAGTTGTGGTGCTGATGAAATCAGCTACAGTAAACTCCTTTTGAACCAGACGCTGATACATCCTCCTCTACTGCCACCCAGTGTGACTGAGTGCTCGGCTGACAGAGCTAATGGCAGCCCGGCAGGAGAGTCGCTCCGTGGTGCCCTACAATTTTATAACTGATCTATGACCAGGACGCACGCTTTTATCCTCTGTGCTTAGGTGGATATTTGCACATCACAGATGATGAACAAAGTCATTAAAATGTAAATCTAATGTAGGCTGCTACAGAAGTTTTGGGTGGGTGAATAATACATTTTTCATGTATGTAGGTAAGGTGTATTAAAGACATTATATAAAATGTTGAGTGTTTATAAAAATGGAAAATATCTATAGATAAGAAAAAGCATAACGCAATGAAGACACATCACAAATGAATACAAAGAACCAAGAGCCAATTCACCAGTTTGAAGTGCCGACTCTGAGTCAGCCATAGTCAGTCAGACTGAAAGCCAGCCGAACTCACTTTGGTGATCAACATGGGGGCTTGAGGCTACACAGGTGGTGATATTTTTGTTTTTCTATTTTTTATTTTTGTTCAAATTGGCTTTTGATTTATTGGGAATCATACTGGGTATGGCAAACTTTCATAAAGATTTCTCCAAGTGGCTTCTAGTTGTTTTCTTTTAGTAAGTGATACAGTAGAACTGTCATTATTGTTAGCTATTTTATTCATCAGCACTGTCATAACCAGCCAACTAGCCAATCTGTGTAGCCATTGCTGTTTGCAATAACGTACAACAACTTTAGTAAACAATAATGTCCATAGTGCTCTACTGATGTACTGCTTCAAGCTGTTATATTTTAGTTGAGACTACATTCCAGAGTGACGGGAACTAAAGGAACAGTTTAGGGTTTAACGTCTTGTTTAAAGACTCTTAATAACAATAGTTATGGATAAATGAGCTGCCGTGAACGTATTAGGTAGAGGACATCTTTTTAATCAGTGCTCTAGCTTCAGTGCTTTATCTGCAAAGAGGAGCCCCGGGAGCACACGGACCGGTCTGGATTGGATGGGTCAGGAAAGTCAAAAAAGTCAAAAGGAGCATCAAAACCACAGAGCTGTAGGGCTTCATGGCTTCCAGCTGGGTGTGTACGTGTTATATTTTTATCTTTTATATCGAATGTGACACTTGAGGGTCGAGTAGTCTATATTATAATGCCCACAGCAATGGGATTCTTAATTATCTGCTCTAATGTCATGACACATCACAAACCATCACTCTCATAACTGCTAGTTTTATAAATAAACTGTACCTAAATATTAAAATATTAAAATCTGACGACCAAAAACAAGGTGTTCAACGCCATTAGCAGCTGACAAAAATTATTGTTTCAACTATTAATTATCTACCAAATAAATAAATAAATAAAATGAAACCACGGGCAGCCTGAAAGATATCAACCAATACTGAGAAATACTTATAAATAATACAAGTTGGCATGTAATTAACATGCCCAATAACCTGGACAGATGTTTACAATAATTACACCAAGGTATTAAACTAAAGCTGATATTAAATCAATCATGTGCTACAAGTAGCTGCTTTAAAAGGATTATTAGTCCTGAGCAGGGCTGTAGAAGCTAACATGAACAGAAAGGTGAACACAAAAGGTGTGGAGACACACACACACACACCAACACTGCCAGTAGCCAGCAGGCTTTTGAACATCTGTCATACCTGCCTGCTCCAATCCCATCACACACTCAGACACACACACACACACACACACACACGCACACAAAGCACCCTGTGAATGGTTGTGACAGCTCAACACAGTGCCACTAGCCCAGAAACACATGTTCCTTTCTACTACGTACACAAACCAACACACTGACCACCTCCTCTGTCCCACTTCACAACCATCTCTGTCTTTCCCTCGCCCTCTTTGTCCCACTTCAATCACTTTCTTCACTACCACTGTCCCCTTGTTTCTTCCTCCTCATATTCTGCTGAAAACCGGTGGCTATGTCCATGTGCAGGTACAAACATTACACAAAATGTTCACTGACTTGAGATGTACTTCAAGAGAAAGAAAAACGACAGCCTATACTTTTAGTATTGTCAACAAAGCCTCTGAAAAGACCCAAAACCATCAATGAATGGATCCTACTAACAAGTATTTTCTGTGTAGCCAGAGTCTGCAAAGCATATTCCTCTGTATGAGTGGAAGAGTTCCATTGTTGTGCAAAAACTATTAAAAACACATCACTGAGTCATCCTGTTGCACTGGGTCACATGTTCTTTCCATGAACACACACACTGTAATTAGTTTTTACTTAAAAATACACACTAGATCAAATAATCTGGATTAATCTGCATTTTAAAACAGTGTTTAACAACTTACTCCCAAATGGAATTTGCTGAAAACTAGTGCACAGATGTTTGAGAAATCACTAAGCCTTTTCATAAATATATCTGTAATTTCATTACACTTATCATTATGTCTTATTGGGGGGGGTACACCCCCCACAAACACACATACACAATGAGGTAAACACAGACACAAAAACAAATGTGTGAAAAATCAAGCAGACACACACACACACACACACACACACACAACCACAGACACATAAAATTACCATTCCAATTAAATTAAAGTTTTGGCATAATTTACTTGAAACATAAACAACTAGAACCCCAAGACACACACACACACACACACACACACGCTACATTTTCCTACAGGTAAGACAAAAGCATTGTCAGTAACAGACAAAATACTACAGGGAAGGAGCTCTCTCTCCTCTGTGAATCAAAGGTTAGATTCAGATTGTGCTGAATCTTTTTTCACACAGGCACCTTCACTCTTTCACCACCATTTTCTCTTCTCACCCCACCATCTCTACTCTTCTAAGCAAAAACAAAATCACTGACAAAAGCCTTTTTTTCTCTTTTCCACATCAGAAAACGCTCTTGAGAAAATGGTTGAGTGAGAACGACATTAAGAAAAAGAAAAAATATAAAGACAGTAAAAGGGGAGGGAGAAATGGAGAGATGGGGAAAACTGAAGAGAGGAAAAAGAAAAGAGAATTTTGGTAGAGGAGGAGAATATGTTCCAAAAGTAAAGCAGACAACAAGAGACAGGTTAAGGAGAAAGACGGATACAACAAAGCTAGGAAAACAGAAGGAGAGGAGACAAGTAGGAAATAGGTCAAAGAGCAAAAGAGTGACAAGGAGGAAACAGGAAGAAGTAGAAAGTGGCATGAGAGTGTGAGGAAGTGAAAAGAGAAATGAGGGAAGGAACCAGCTCAATTAAAGCAAGAAAGAGAGAGGTCAGAAGAGGAAGGTAGCTAAACAAAAACATCAACAGAGAAAGATGGAAGGACATTTTGTGGAAGAGATGCAAAAGAGAAGTGGGGATTATGGCTTCCTACTGGGTTAACTTGAAAAAAACACACACACACACACAGTCCATCTGAGATCTGATGGGATGTCACTTTATCAAACGAACTGCCACTCGTTGTGTCCTCACACCCCCACTGGGACCCTCATTATCGGCCATGATTGCCCCCACCTAACCTCCCCTATCTCCTCCTCCTCCTCCTCCTCCTCCTCCTCTTCTCCTGCAACCCCCGCACTCCACCTCTCTCCTTCATCACCGGGGCACCTTCTTAACATCCCAATTATCATCATCTTTGATTTGTGCTCTCGTTCTCAAGGAGAAATAATTGGAAACAGTTTCTCTTTACTTTTCTCTCTTTTTTTCTCTTGTTCTTTTGCTCATCTACCTTCTAGCATTCTGTCTCCAAATCAGATGACTCAGACCTAACTATAGCCATATCCAAACCATATCCAAACTATACCCAAACAATATCCAAACCATATCCAAACCATATCCAAACCATACCCAAACCAGAGTTCATTTAGCTTTATTATAATCCCTCAATGTCACTGTTCTATTTGAGTATTCAGGACATGTTTTTAGTATAAAAAATGGGTCCGCAATGGATCCCTAATCCTCAACGACAGAAGCAAGAAAGAAAAAGAACCAAGCAACTTTCAAAAACAAAAGGAAACAAAGGAAACAACAGCAAACTTAACAGGGAATTAAATAACTGGAATACAACCTTAAAAAAAGAGAGAGAAAGAAAGAAAGCTTGGAGACAAAAAGAATAAAAAGAGGTGTCACTCACCTGCACATTTAGTCCTGGTGACCAGAGGCGGCCCCGGGGGCCCTGTTCCTCCCTCCCCTGGTCTGGACAGCAGGACCTTGATCTCGTACTCCACATCTGGATCCAGGTGCCACAGTTTATAGGTGGGGGAGTCCACCACGTGGGTCTCCGCCCAGTTCCCTGAAGTTGTGCGGTACTCCACCTCCTTCAGGATGATCGGCCCATCGCCGATGATGCTGTTGGCGTTGGGTTTGATCCAAAGGTAGGTGGCGCCAACTGCGAGAAGCTCAGGCGGAGCAATTGGGGTGGGAGGAGCTGGAAAGTGGGAACAGAGGTGGTCAGTTAAGTATAGATTCCGATTTTTCTACTAAAAAAAAACTGCAAAATTGTAATAGCTGCAACCACGCACACACACACAACCGTTTTCCAATAGGCTGCTACCATTACCATGCCATCTTTTAGCTATTTGACATGAACACAAACACACTTGACATCAATTTCAGCTTTTGTGGCCGCCAAAGGACTGACCGACAGTGCGAGCTACAGAACTGCTGGTCGGGGCTAAAATCAATAAAATATCCAGCTCAGTCACAGAGCCAATCAGAAAACAAATCATATCACCTTGTTATGACTGTGGCCCCACCTGAGCTTATCTCTGTTAGAATTAGAATACATTACAAAACTCATCTTTCCTGAAAACTATATTAAAATCCAATCAGCGGTGCCTAAGTGTGTAATACTCGAATGAAAGAATGTTGCACAACCCTTTGGATGTTCAGTGTAATTTTCAAAAATAACAAACACAATTTGAAATTCATCATTTCATTACGTGTTGTTTTATATACCACCTGCTATTCAAGATGTTTTTAGGCCTCAATTGATTCCCCAATAAAAATAACCATAAACACGATGAAAGAGTTAGAAAAAAGTTAGAAGTCCAATATTTTTAAGCTGATATTGGTATCAATCAATACCAATGTCAGTACAATCTGTCATGACTTCATCGGACGCAATTTTACACCAGTCAGAGAATAAACGTTTGGACACTACTGTAGAACCTTGGAATAAGTTGTATGTTACTGTGAAAAGGATCAGATGTCAGTGTGATCTATAGGAAGCAACGCTTATTCTGCCACCACAGCCACTAACTGGTTACAATGTGATGCAAATGTAAAGTGGAAGCAGACACAGTTTGACTTCTGCATTGAATTCGCTGCTAGTAAAAGCTAAAAAGGAGACATTTTACAGAGTGAATTCTCCACCTTTAGCACTAATCCATCACATTGTTGACATGTTGCTGACAGCTACTTTGCCACTAGACTTCCACATTATGCTACTTTAAAATAATGGCCTCTGTCAAGCCTAAAAGCATAGGAAGTTTTATTACTCCCCCTTTTTTTCAAAACCAAACTCCAGACAGCAGCTTCTCTTCAAAATGAGATAACCAACATCTACATGAATAGTGAGACCTCCATGAAATGCTACACAAAATGCTAAAACAAAAAGCTAAAAATGCACATAATGAAAGCTGGTAACTAAAAGGAGAACCTCACACATATACTGTACTATATTATTGTATTTAATACTTTCAGTATCCCAAATCCACAGGTGAATATTCTTACTCTATGTATGAACGTAATGAGAGGGTGAATGTGACGCTTCGTAAAAGCATGCTGCACTGTACAGACAGTACAATATATAAAGACGGTTTATATACAGAAATTAAAACGACCAGTTTGTAGGATTTAGCAGCATTAAGCAGTTAAGTTGAAACTACAGTGAAACTCCCAACTCCCAACTCCCAAAAAGCCGCCCATGTAAAGCCAGTGTTTGGTTTGTCCATTCTGGACTACTGTAGAACCATAGCAGTTCAACATGGCAGCAACTATTCTTTCTATTTTCAAGTTAATATACACTAGTGAGCTATAACTCAATATGCAGTTTCTGCCAATATATCATCTTGAATGTT